TGTAACGTTCATGGATAATATAATGAAATTTTTATAATTTAATATGCTGTATACCTACTTAGCTACAACTTATAAGTAATCATAACGATTCGAAAAAAAATAAACATTTTAATTTTAATTTAAACAACAATAGTTATTAAAATTTTATTCATATCAATAATTTTCAAATAAATAATTAAAAACATTATGTGATAACATTATCTTGAATAGAACGAAATATTGTATTACATGCCATATATTATTTATTAACAGCAGTATGAATGAAAACCACTATATATTATAATATGCAAATTGATGGATAAATTAAAAAATTTACTTGCACTAATAATAAAACAAAATTTAAAATAATTTAAACAATATTACAAATTAATTAAATAAAATAATATAAAATATAAACCTCAAATTAAATAATGAAAATAAATTTTAACGTTGGTTATTATTATTAGGATTTAAATATAATAGCTTTGGTGGACTAAGGTTTATTGCAAAAAAACTCAACGCACACTCAAACGAAAATAAAACCTTTAAATAAATTAACACTAATTGAAATACAACGAATAATACACAATTAAAGCGGTGCAATGAAAAAAAATAATTTTTACTAAAAACAATAAATAATTGCAGAACAAATAAAGTTATATAATTATCTGATTTAAATAAATATATTGATTGTTTATAAAACTATTTTATTAGAAATAAATTTCATTACGATTAAATACAAATCAAACATTCAAGTCGAATGTTTAAACGGTTTTAAAATAAAACTTAACAGCCTGTTATTCATTTTCAGAACATATAAATATGTAATTCGTTGATTGTTGTGTAATTAAAATCTAACGTAATGTTTGAAAACAAAACTTCAAAACTTAACGAATAGGCTACATCAAATTTCAAACGTTGAAAATATTACAATATAACATTTAAAACAAATACTATAATTCATTAATCCAACCGCGAAATTTCGAATAGTATATTATAAATAGTTATTATTTTATATATATATATATATCATATATATTATAATAGTCCGTCTATTATTTATTTTGTTTCCTTGAATACTTTGCAGAATTATTTGTTTCAATTATAAAACCATTTACGGTATTTTTTTACTATAAAAAAAAAGTTACGCCATACAATATTTTGAAGTTTTTAAATATTATTGAAACATCCATTACAATGCGAATAAAAATCCTAATACCAAGAAAAACTGAGTAAAAATAAATTTTTACGATTAAAAAACACTTTGAGGTAGTTTTATTTTATCTATCAAAGATTAAAAAAATGTTTGTAAAAGTTTTAATCATAAAATACTAAACATTTGCTCCACTATTACCAATAAAATTCGTCTTTTTATCGACGTTGTGTGATTTTAATTTTACATACCTACCTCATAAGTCTTCAGTATAAATTTGATACAATATTTATTTTATATATAATTATCGATAAGAATAAAGTTTTTAATAAGTTTTAATAAAAATATTTTTTCAAATACGTATAATTAAAGACGATTTATTGAACTCGGAAAGAATTAAACTGCAAACCGTTTTATAAGTAAATCATTATTTCTTTATCTGCATATCCTTATGAATTATATATATATATATATATATATATATATATTTTCATATGAAAAATTTTGTGTGAAATGGTCAACCAACAAAAAACTAAATTAACTAAGAATCCCATGTGATGCGTATCTTTAATCAGAGTTAATTATATATCACAATATTGTATGCTTTTAAATTTTACTCGTTAACTTTGATATAAGATTGATTTTTTTTTTTTTTTTTTTGTTAATGTACACAAAATACGTCAAAAATATTTTTAATAATCCATTGAGAATATGAAACATACACTATTTCAAAGATATATTTGATATGTAATTTTGTACATATATCATATACTCATTTAAATTTGCCTATATTTTTTATGTTTATTCACACAACACTTAAATTTACATTACAGATAAATACCACATACACCAAAAGAAACGCACACAATGCACACATGTGTACGGGTATTTATTGTTATTCCACTTATACATAATCGAAACAAATTCGTTGTAAATTAAACTATTCTTTTAACGGATAGATAAATTGCATTCACTGATGGTTTATAAACAAACGTCAACTAGACGGATGTAACGAGTATAGGTAAATAATTCTATTCGTTTTAATTTTGTTTTATTATACATCACAAACATGACACATTATTCATTATACTTAAAACGATATAGCTGTGTAAATAAAAAAAATGTTCGTACAATTTTGAAAATTATTGATTAAAAACTGAATAAATTAATCGACAAAAACTTCGCTCCGTATCAAAATATAAAAATACATTTTTCATAAATAATATTTGAGAACTATTTTAAGTCCTTAAGTAATATTTATTAAGACAGAAAACTACTCGAATCCCGCATTCCATTATTATCAGTCCAATAACTCCAGTTTCTGATGGAACAAATAAAAAGGCATTGGATATGTTACACAAGAAAATAAACAAATATTACATACTGTTAATCCATTTCAATCGAGTTCAGATAAAAATTAACGATACTGAACTAAGTATATTACTAATACGGTTGTAAGTAACGATTTATAACCATAATACAAAATAATGATTTCATCATTCTTCTAGATTTTTCTTTATACGTACTTTCGACACGTATTCTATATTTAATTAACTAAGAAACTTTATGTGTGATAGCCACAAAGGATTAGGATAAATAAAGGGTATAAAGAAAAATAAGAATGGACATAAATTATGTGTATACATATGTTATCTCAATAACTAATCATTTTTGTTGATTTCAGGCAAAAAATAAATAAAATATCATAAAAACATTAATTAGAACAAAATAAATTGAAGACAACAAGCATCTACTTAAAACTAAACTTAAAAATCATAAAATGCTAAGATTCAGTAACTTCTTTTTTTTCTAAATATTTATATAAGAATTATTATATAGACACTATTATATTTAGCCATTATTATGGTTTTAATATAATTTACTTTTAATCAGTATTTATTCAATGAATTTATTAGGAAGTTTTTAGAAATTGCTCTTTTAATCATAAATATATAATTGTTTTTAATGGATAAAGTAATGCATATATAGACGTTAAATATATTATTATAACTTAGTTTTTGGAAGGTACATCCAATGAAAACTTTAAAATTTTCTCAAAAACTACTGAGTGTTCTAAATTTGAAACTCCAACAAATGATTTTTTAAAATGAACAATAAATTCCAATTATGAACAAAAAATACCAATCTATTATGAAACTATAAAAGACTCCACTTTTAAGTTAAAATTGAAAATCTCAAATGCTCTAAATCGAAAATTAATAAAAACCGATTATTTCTGTCTAATAAAACAATATCAGTTAATTCGATTAATGACAGTTATTTAAAATTTAACTACATTTTAAGCACCCATATGAACAAATATCAATTCGAAAAAATACTGAAACCTTTAAAAGTAAATTTACACACTATTACAGTGAAAATATAATCCATTTTATTTATTTTGATGCTTGAATATAATTTCAATAACTCTTATAAAAGTTTTAAAAAATTAAGATGATTATTTTTTAAATACATTTTATAATAAATGATCAATACACATCGTATAGAAATAAAATTATAGTTTGCCCGATTTACGTTTTTAACCGCAATTATTAACATTTTAATACTCTATAAAAACAATTATATGAAGTGACCATACAATATACAAATTTATGGAAATCTTCTTTTTATACACCTAAAAATTGAATAATTTATAATAATTTCAAGATTTTTTCATATCATTTTAGCAGATAACTTATAACCCTCCTCCCCAACAAGTATGAGTATACCTGTATTTCACGTTAATTATTTAGATATATTTTATAGGTTACAATTTTCATATGATTTTTTTTAATCTATACATAACCATGTAACATAAAAATGAATACATTAAAATTATTTTTTAACTTACACAATTAGTTTTCACAATATTTGATTTGAATAAATCATAATAAGATCGTAAAATATAAAATAAATAATGTATAATTGATTCTTATATTTTAGAATTGAAAATATAAAAACATGAGTAAACCAAATTCATAAATAAATAATTAGATTAAATAAACTATATTTTTTACTACTAATGCGTAAAAATAGTATTTTATAAGTACCTAAAAGAATTCAAATAAATGTAAGATTGAATTATTTAGTTTGATGCAATAATTTTTTGTATTAAAAACATTATATTGCATTCATTTTAAAAATTTTATATGTTTTCCAAAAATTGAAACCAAAATATTTTTAAAACATTATTAATTTAATACATTTTTAATAGTAAAAATAAAATATTCAATAATTTAGTTATTTTATAAATTACATATATTTTAATTTACAAAAAACCAATCGAAAACTCTACAATATTTTTAAAGAAATTCAATCATTAACCTTGTACATAACATCTAATATGTTATTGTTTTGTAGTAAATAAAATACAAACTAGTAATATATTATTAAAATACTTATATCATTGATAAGTTTAAAGGTACGAACGTTTGAAGAAAATATATTTGAATCTCATAACTGATAATTATTTTTTTTTTTTCATTTCTTTAACATAAAAATTAAAAACTTAACAATTGTTTTTAGTGTTATCAAAAAAAAAAAAAAAATTCAAATAAATTTAAAATTTTTATATAGTTTGCATTAAGTAACGTTTTCATGTAAATATTTTACAGCCTATTTATATTTAAAGAAAATAATTTTATAAGTGAAATTAAATGAATATTGTTAACTATAATATATCAACTTCTATTAATCTAGGTTTGTATGCAACACTTAATTTTAATCGTACGATTGAGTTTAAATACGGAAACACAATGTAAACTCTTTACGCACATATGATACTGTGTATATCCGTGATTGATTGATATTCAACCAATAATGCGTTGACGATAATAAGTTTATCGTATTACGTTAAAAACTAACATACCTGTTCGTGTGGAACTACGTTCAAGGTAAAATGAATATTTTGATTTTATTGTTACCGCCGAAGTTCCGTTCTATTAGTAGTATTATCATTTTCACAACGCGTTTGAATGTTAATCGTATTGAAATTAAAAACAACGTTATTAATTAACTTCACATTTTCCGTCTGTGGATATGAACATCGAAAAGATACGACGTGATTCGTAACAGTCACGTGAACATCCGTTTTGTGTACGGCGCGACGCACGTGTTAGCCGTTCCGAGCGCGTGTCACGACTGACGAATTTCGACCGGGAATGTGCCTCCCTAGAACTAATACACGCTTGTCGCTCCGTCACATAGTCAAAAGTCTATTTCAACCATTCACGTTGTGTACAAACGACGATCAACGGGAAGAGGTTTTGAAATGTAAAAACTCTTCAATGATTGTTCTTATCGCGCATTACCGCGAACACCGGTCAACTAGGTGTGATATCACGCATTATTATTTGCTCAACTTGAATCGATTTATACTTGAAAAATTATAATTTCCGTAGTATCACGTTTAAACATGTGTTCTAGTGCCATTTCCTACGCTCTTTTAATAACAATAATATACATATTTATTATATTTTATTGCGTGTAAACATAATAGTAAACAGTCCCCAGTTAAAATATTCAATTATGTTTTTGTGAATACTTATTAGTTATCTTTAGATTAAGATGTATTAATCGTTCAATTTCAAAACAATTATTTTAAACTGATTATCACTGAAGTACGTATTGTTATTGTATCTATTCCATTACTGAGTGTTCCACGAATATGTAATGATTACCGCAATATTACCAATAATTACAAAAATAATTTATTTCCGTGTTAAATATATTTTTCATTAAATAAATAGTTACGATTCTGATTATTTTTTAAATACAAATATCCAATAGATAAACAGAATCTAAATATCTATATTCAGATTTAGTTTTTCTAGTTTTTCTAGATTCTATGTTATCATTAAGACTTAAAACAAATGGCAATTAATAAATCCTTGAATCCTTGAATGCGTTAAGAAACGTACTCAATATTCTTCCAACCTATTATTTGAAAACAACAAATGTTATTATTAATGTAATTCGCTTTATAAAAATTCTTAGACTTAAGATTTATATTATATATATATTTCGTTAAAACTAATATTATATGTATACTAAAAAAAACTAATAAAAAAATTGTTATAAATACCTAACATATTAAGCTTTTACAAAATTAAAAGAGTGAAAAATATTTTATAAATATTTATAAAATAAAATCACATTTTCTTAAATTAACTACTTTGATCTTCCAATCTAAAAATATAAACCATAAAAAGTTGCTTAATTTAAACTTTAAACTGGTAATTCAGTTTTACGATTAGAATACGTACAATAACAATTATGAACTGAAATAAAATAAATTGTGCATCAAAGCAAAATGTCTTGAATATTGCATAAAGACGACAAGTAAGCAAGTTTATACAACGGATGTTTTATACTTATTTTTCTTTTAAAACTATGTTTATAACTTAAACATAATGGATGCATTTTAATACACGAATTATACCCAAAATAACTGCATGATTACATTATTATTCGAGTGGAAAAATATCAGTTCAATTTTACTAACTTCAAAATAATACCATTTAAATTTAAATAATGAGTAAATATTATAGTACATTGTAAAGTGCTTTACCTGCAAAAGCAAAATAAATAAAACTCGGCAAAGTGACCATTGAACTTCCATTTTTAATATTTTTTCTACATAGGTAGTTACTGATGATAAAAAGCCAGATAAGCTTACATATATACCTACACATTACGTGCGCACTTGTCTAAAACAACGACTTAAATTTGGCACAAGAACATAATGTAGGATCATGAAAAATGTATTTTTTGTACTTAACCGTTAAAGTGAGTGCATGTGTGTGTAATAATAATTTTCATATTTTTGGCACCACCGAAGACGAAGTCGATATACGTTAAAATCATTCCTTTTTTTTTTTTTTGTGATTTGTATTGGTATAAAAAAAATGATCAAAAACATCATGAGTAATATTTACACGCAGCAGGTTATAAGATAATGAATTTAATGGTATTTTTATTTTTAATGCAATAAAAGTCACAATTATTACAACAAAACGGTTTAATTTTTTACAAGTATTTAAACAATTAATTCACACAATTTTAACAACGAACGTTTTAAGTAGTATTTTAACTGAGTAATGGTAATATTTTTACTAACTGATTAATTTTTACGAAAGAAAGTCTACGCTTTAAACTTGTTGGCCATTGTTTATGTTTATCCTACATGTATTACACAAGTTTCAAATGCTTCAAATGTTTCTAATGGTAAATTTATCGGAATAAATAGGATCAAAAACATAAATAACATATTTTGGTTTACTGTGTACGATAAAAAAAAAATCACTTATTCAAACAACTCGACTAAATAATAGACTCCCCGGTATACCAATATCGTATAAATTGAAGCTGATACATCTAAATCCACAGAAATAGTTTATTTGGCATGAATGAATGACAAAAACACTGTTTGTTATTCAAACAAACTTTTTCTACTTACGTGTTGTTGCGTCAACATAATCGTGTTACGTAAAATATTTTCACTATAATGGATCATTGAGTTTGATTTGAAACCCTTTCAAGTTTGAGTTTTTCAAAATAATTTGAATGTTTAAACTATATCTTCCCATATATTTACAGCAATGTGACCGAAAAAATAAATATGATAAATATGATTGTGCCCGATAAAATGTTTTCGATAACAATTACAAGTAATTCATAAAAAAGTTGATCACAATAGACGTTCGACAGTATTTATTATTGTAGGGCCGTAGCTACGGGGGGGGGGGGGGGTCAGGAATTCAAACCCCCTCCTTTAATAAGGTAGAAAAATTCTAATTTATTCTGAAATTTAAAATGTTTATTTTTTAAACTTTTTTTTTTATACAAATGAATAAATACTTAATATATTAGTATAGGAAATTTATATTATTATGCCACAGGTGTATATTAGTGCCTGAAGTGCATTGCACGATGTAGATAAAATCGATAATATCTACATCGTGGTGCATTGTGATAAATGATAAATGATAAGAGTTATAAATTTGGAAACATAAACTCAAAAGGCTAATAACAAACAATGATGAAATGCTGCCTTCTAATGCATTGGATGCCATCAGGCGCTGTGACCCTATCATATTCCCAAATATATTTATGTTACTTAACATTTTGTATTGTCTCCCTGTTTCTACTTCAACGCCAGAAAGATCTTTTTCTAGCTTAAAAAGAATAAAAACCTACCTCAGAAACAGTATGAAAGAGGTACGTATGTAATTTATTTTAATGTAATTATTTAATTGGAATTGTTTTGGCTGAATAAAAAATAAAAAATAAATAAATGTATAAACAATAAATTAATTCTGATTTCATTTTATTGAACTGTTTGTTAAACAGGATCGTCTCAATGGATTGGTCCAATTGAATTATTATCGAAATATCGTCATCACGCCAGATGAATTATTGAATGAAATGGCTTAAAAGCCGAGAAAAATTGACTTGGTGTTATCATGAAAATATAATGTTTTATTTTCACAATTTTGAACTCAATGTAATTTCTTATAATGATGTCCTCTATCAAATTCATATCTATAGAACTGGACCCTCCCCATAGAAAATTCTTAGTTACGGCCCTGTATTAGTGTGTTGTACTCACATCATTATATACCCGCAGCACAATTTCAAAAAACATATTTGATCGTCTTGATTCAATTTTTATTTAAGTTTTATGTAGTTGGGTATAACTTCTTATGATATAAATCATTGAAAACCTTTGAAGCTTCAAGTATCATATTTACATTTCCAGTTGTGCACTTATTTGAGTATCATATGTTGCCGAACAGGCAATATAGACTAAATTTAAATTACAACTATAAATATATCACTTTTTGAAAAATTCGATACAATTAAACTAAGTCAATAAAACGTATTTCTTCTTCTTCTTCTTCTTCTTCGTAGTTGATGGCCTTTAAGATCAAACTGACAAACATATGTCATGCCATCTCTCTCTATCCTCCGCTAGGACTCGCTAATCACTATCCGGTTCAACCTGCTCCACATCTTTTGACACCTAGTCTTCCCATCTCAACCTTGGTCTACCAAGTGGTCTTACATCTGGAGAGCCGCATAGTACCTTGTGTATAAAGGCTCTTTCTTTTCTTTTCTTTTTTTTCTTTTAAAACGTATTTAAAAATGTTTAATATTTAAAATATAGCATTCATAATTATTATTTTATCACATTTTTTTTTTTTTTTTATTGAAATCAATTCATGAAAAATATGTATCAAAATACTTCGTCCTAATTTCAAACATTTATATTTATTTTAAAAATAAAGATATACTCGTAAGAGTAGAATGAAGTAAAATATATTCTTATTATAATCAAGTTTTAATTACTTTAATTATAAATGTTTAATATTACCCTCACCACTGGCCATTCGAAAGACGGTGTTCAAATTCCTCCCAATCGTTGCTGATTATATCTTGTGTCACAATATTCACAACATTCATAATCCTGGTTTTGAGTTTTCCCAAGTTTTTAGGTAATGGTGGTCAATAAACTTTCTCTTTGTGTAGCCTCATAAAAAAAATCACACCCTAGGAGGTTAAGGTAACGAGGTGGATAGGAATAAATCGCCAAATCATTTTTTTTTTTTTTTTTTACGCCCAATCTACCCTTGCGGGAGTTTCAACAAACTAACGATACCTAATTTACTAATTATTGCAGTATACATATATTAGCTACATAACTTAAAATAAACTTCATTATCTTATCTTTCTATTAGTTCATGGATCGTTAACCTGCGATTGACGATTGATGATTATTGATTTAATATATATATATATATATATAAATCAATATATAAATATTATAAATATTATAGTATAAATAAATATATATTTTCACAATAAATGAACATAAGTCTTACACCATATAATTAAAATAAAGTACAATTTTAAAATTACATAAAATTATATATTATGATAAATTTGATCATATTTGTATGCATCTAAAATGAGGACTGTTATATATCTAAAAGAATAATTAATTTACCTATATGGTTGTGTAAAAGATATATGTGTATTTTAAAAATATAAAAATATTTTAGTTAACATAAAAAGGGATTGTAAAACTTTCTGTCTATCTTGATATACATTATTTATAAAATTATAATATAGATCATATGAAATTGAAACAATTAAGAAAAATAAGCTTTATGAGTGTGAAACTGTACGTATATGCATGTTGCCAAAAACGCTAATTAAGAATATACAATATGCGCTTGTGGAAATCAAGACCTATGACTGAAATCAAAATATATGGAGAAAAAAACAATTTAACTGGAAGTAATTTATAAATAATTTATTTTAAAAATATGCTTTGTAAAAAATGTTTGTTTACAAAATGTATTGTAAAAATACTATACAGTCATTTTATTCTAGTACTATAAATGTAAGATAAGTATTTTGCTTCAATTTAATAACTCTAGTACATTATTTTACAGTAAAATTATCATTGTTTTTGTTTTCAAATGTATAGCTAATCAAATCATTAAATAAAAATCGCAGTGAGACAAAAATTTTTGTTTTCGTTTTTCAGATTAATATGAATAACAAAAATAATATACAACACTTTTAATCATCAATTCCCTCAGTATCTACTACATCGATTACATCAACAATTAAGTTTATCGACTTTTTTATTACTTTTCATAATAACAATTCGCAATTTCTATGTACCATAAACACCGCAACATATCTATTTTTTAAAACAAAAAACTTAAAATGTCTAGACCGCTTTCTATTCACGGTTCATTTTTCCGTCAACGCTATAGTGATCAATATTTATCTACAATTATAAATTGAAAAAAATATCAATTAGCCTTGTCAAAAAACTGACTGTTGTAGATATTTATACGAATAATGCACACAAAAATATAACGAAGCACATTAAATCAGATAAGTTATTGCCAAATAAGATTTCACAAATTAATATTTCCGTGTACACTTCATTGAAAATAAAATAGCTCTTGATTGAAATAGGACACGGTTCGTTTGCAGTATAATAAATGTATGTGTTTTAATGAAGAACCTCATATACAAGCTTTATGATATTCTACAACGGTATACGGAACATTTCATTTTATTATAACGATAAATTCCTTGAATTTATACTTTTATGAAAACATTTTCTACAATAAAGATCTATAAATAAAAATTAATTTCACAACGAACAATATTATATTTTAATATAAATGCTAACTGAACAAAAATCAGATACAAAGATTACATTTTTAACGACTTTAAATTATTTTTTATTCAATCATTGTTGAAAATTTCAGTCTGGCTGAATAAACCATAACAATGCCTAACAAACTTTGAATTACATTATTATTATAACTACTACAATGATAGGTTAAAAAATTACTTACAGAAGTTTACAGAAATCGAAATCATAAGAAATCGATTATAAGTAAAAAAAAAAAAAATAATAACGCTTCAGTTTAATTTTAAGAACTTCAAAGTATGTATTATTACTAAATAAACACCACATAAATATTGTTGTGTTTAATTATAACAGGTTCTACTAGATACTTATTAAAAAACCTAGTTTTTAATTAAATAGCCTTAATTTAGACGGTAAGTCCAAATTAAGACTTCATTAATAGTAGTTCTTTAATATACAATATAACAATGACTTAATTTTGAAAAAATTCTATTTATAATATAATTTAAATATTCACGTAAATTATAACGGTCTGACAAAAAATTAAATGAAAATTATGTTACTATCACTAATATAATATAGTGTAATAATAATAATAATAATAATAATAATGGCAGTAAAAAATGCTGAAAAATAAAAAATATTTAGGTTTATTTTTCAATATTGTTAACTATAAATCTTTTAGTCACATATAATTATGTGACAAAATGAATCATAATGCAGTGTTTACTTGTACTCATTAACAGTGCGTATTTAAAATCAGCGAGTATAGTAGATTTGATTCCCAGCTGCAGTTTCTTTTATGAGTATATAGCTTGGAAATGTGAATAATATTTCCTATCGCTGTTTTTTTTTTTTAAATTGCATCAAATATTCTATTTTTATTTTTCGAACAACACGAATCTAACAAAACCATTCAGTTCATTCGTATTATTCAAAACACAGTAGGTATACAAATAATAGAGGAGTTTGCAACTTTGTACCGTTGTGCAAATTATACTGTTATAGGACCAAGCACAATATCATCATTCGATTTCAAGAATGTATAAAGTCAAATGAACACCACCTCACGGACATAATATTCTTAACTTCTGGACCCTCGGTGGTATTTAATTCACATTCTGTCTTCGATAAAAAAAATATTTTGTTATTACATTGTTCTACTTCTTGGATAGTTATTTAAAATGATCCCATTTTTCTGGACGACCCTACACGGATTACACCCATAAGCAACAACTATATATCCAAAACGACGTCAATTCGCTGCTTTTAGTCTTACAATAATATTCCTTATTTTTATCGGGTCAAAAATATTATGTATTTGTATCACGCACGAGTAAGCAACTGTTAGAAATTCGTACAACGTTTCCTGATCAGATTAACATTGTACACGCTATGCATTACCATTGTTTCAATCAATTATCAATATGACAAATGCCCGACACGGAAAAAGTAACACTCATGATACGCGTGCCATTAATGTCTGAAATATCTAAGCCGGTGCCGGACTTAAGTATTGGAAGGCCAGAGTGCAACTAATATCAATCAGAGGCAAATTCGAAAAATAAAAAAATACCGAAAAATCCTATCTATTTCTCCGGTATAATAAAACAATTATAATATGAATAAGTTCATATTACGTTCATATTACATTCAGTATACGTTTTTATAAATTTATTCGTATATAATTTGTTGAATCAATTTGATCGATGTTTCATAAAAAATGGTTATGATATTTTGTTTATTCATAGTGCATAATATTACATCTGAGGCCCCAGTGCATTGCACTTCCTGCGCCTCCGCTAAGTCTGACAATGATCTTAACGTAACTATACACCCACAGTAGTACACGATATCTCGGACAGATGACCGTGTATCTCTCGTTCTCCGAACAATTGCTTCTAATAAACAAACGCATAGGCTCTTAATTGTTTTTTCCCGCCGTTCATTTTTATAGTGCGCATAAAAAAAAAATGCATAAAAAATCTACCACGAAAACACTTTACGTGCATACAAACGCCGCAAACCTTAAAGAGGATATTTTCCCAGAGCAATAGTAACCATAGAAACGCAAACGATGACTTGGCCTTTGTTCTGACGACGACTCAAATGTATATTTAGCGTACCGTGAACACGAACTACTATCCTGAGGACCTGGTCGAACAATATACATATTTTATAGTATTTTTAACAACTTCATCGAGTGTGATGATCACGAAGTCCGCGCGACAGATGAGCTCCTCAAGGAATCGAT